TATATATAACATATTTATATTTTTATATATATATAAAGCATCTATCACTATACTGATAAACATTACTGAATGCTTTTTATTTTCCCTTCCCACCACTTCCTATTTTTCTCCAGCAGACACTCATTAAGACTGACCAAGTACCACAGACCTCTCTGGTTCTGAATCCCTAGCCCTGCATTACTATTACTAAAAATACTTCCGTTCCCTTTCCTGGAGTTCATGGATTTACACAAGTTCCTCCCAAAGACTCAACTTCTGAAATTTGAATTCAGGTCAGTTATTGACATTTCAGAGTCCTCTCAGAGTGTTAACAGAAATCAACAAGACAGACAAGGTATGTTCAGTCTTTGAGGAGGCTAAAAACTGGACAAAGATTTTGAAAGGAAGTTAGAACCTGCACGGAGGGACTAAAAAATTATATGGAAAGTTAAGGTATCCCCTCCATTAAGAATATTTTTGGGAACTACCTCCAACTCCTTTGTGCTCTCATATTGTCAAGGGATCAAATCCACAACTATGAAACCAACAGCAGTCTTCATGACTCCCTCTATAAACAAGTCACAAATGTTTGCAGAGGGCATCCACCTTCCAAGCTCATTCTGAAGGTGTCTGGCTCATATGAATAATTTAAAGCAGATGTTCAAAGTGTACATCAAACAATGGGATAGGTCAAGTATTATTTCATCCATTAAATTTCCCAGAAAAAGGTACAGAAGAATGACTGGTCTCCAAAGTTTATTAAAAATCAAAGAATAGAAAACTTTACATAAAAATATGTCAATTTTAGCTTCCACATAGTTGTCCGCACAAAAAATTTAAACATGATCTTTTTTAAACCTGTAGCACAACCACAGTGATAGCCAGGCCAATTTATTTGGTTCACCATGACTGAAGTGTTACATGATACCACTTTTCAAATGAGTTTTGCTTTAAAATGGACGCTAGTATAAGACACCAACTAAAGCCTTTGAAGGCTCTTTAATGTAGTTATGCTCAATATTGCTAGTGTGTGAAGACTAAGCAGTACAGGCTCATGTAACAGCCCTTAGATATTATTTATGAAACAGCTCACAATTTTTAAAACTTTTTTTTTTTAAATTGTGATGAGTCTGGAGCATTAAGACAAACTTTTTGCAAACAGATATGCACTACTCTACTTTGGAATGTTGCCCTCTCCCCCCAGGACCTGTTTGTGTTTGACAGATTCAGTAATAACATGAACTACTTCTGCTTCAAAGGCATACAGCATATTAAAAAGCTTCATGCTTGACACCTCATTTTAATATTCAGATACCAGTTTTAAAACCTTCTATATCTGTACACAGTATAGATGTCCTGTTAACAGGATTCTTCAGCTTTCTCTGCTAGTAGACTTATATAACTGATCTGTAGTTTTCTGTATAGCTTAAGAACTCTCATTAAAAAAAAACGGGAAGTCAGAGGGCATGAGATGTGACCTACTCCCAGGACAACTGTGGTGCTTTAAAAACTCAGGGTTAGGCAGGATGTACATTTTTTGAAAAGTTAAAGACAGTGTTTGTCATGGCAATACACACTTGCATAGTATACCTGTATGCATCTGTAAATTAAGTGCCAGCCACTCATACTGTGTACAACACTGGGCTGTGCTCTCCTGCAATACATTAAAAGATACTTCTCATAATGCTTAGAGCAGCTGAAGTACTTTTTATATATTTGCTCTTAACAGAACTAATGCATACTGCTATACAGATTCCTTAATGGAATCAACATATTTCCTTTCTCCACATTCCTTAAGCCGGGTACCTCTGTTTAATAACATTGTTTGAACCCAAACATTCACAGGTTACGTTACTAAAATGCATCAAAGCGTGTAGTTCACAGCTTTTTAATTTCACGTCAGGACTTGAACCAACCTTTTTCCCCTCCCTTTCATATGTCTTACTTCTGATACTACAAAAGCTGGATTTGTTGTCTAGTTAAAGGAATAAAATTAAAACTCATTGGTCAGAGCAAGACGACTGATAAAGGCCAGACAATGAGCTAAAACACACAGGGTCAAAATGCTTTGGAGCTTAATACCTTCTTAAAACTGTAAGCCAAATCGCACTTTCATTGTGAATCAAGAAGCCTCAAAAATTACCAAATGTCATGTTTGTAACACTGCTCAGACAACCTGCCAAAACTACGAACCCAACTTAGATAATGCAACCTGGGAAAGGATCTGTAAATTAAAAAAACCTCTTCCCCTTAAATATAACTTATGTGACAATATGAAATTAAATTAAAAATTCCAAGTTATTGCACAAATTATACCTCCAATATTTACAGAGCAAAAAATTCTGAACTTTGAAACAAAAACAGGAGAGCAGCAAATTTGTTTCATGAATTCCCAACTTGATTTGCTGCAAAGAAATAAATCCAAGGGGCTGAAGTTTCCTTCACTTCTAAAATAAAAGAAAACAGAACCCACAAAGGAACAGATGTAGCCACAGCAAAAAAGCCACAGCATTTGTAAATGTCCTTGCAGTTCTATTGTCAGAGCTGCTTCGGCACTGTATGAACCATTGTGGGAAGGCAGAAAACAAACTTCCACATTTAATAAGGCTTCACAGATAAGCACAACTACTTCTTGAAGATGGACTGAACCACCACACAAAGAAACATGCAAAGAAGTCAGCTGCAGATATTTGGCAACACCAATAAAACGATGTGCTGGACGCTGGTCTCCATCCCTCAAGTCGAGTGGCACTCACTCAGTTTGTCTGAACAGGGAAGGTCATTTTGGCATCTGCCATTATCTGCTCAGACTAATAGGCAAACTGTCTCTGTGTTTTTTTCTTCTCCATATATTACGATTGTACTGGTGGTGTCCTCGGTTACCAACTGGTTGCCTCATGCCTCCACTGCTGACGGGGCTGTAGCTGTTGCCTTGGTTATGAGTTCCTTTCATGGAAAACTTCATTCCACTGTGCTGCTAAAAAACACAAGATAAGCACTCAGTATAGGCATACAAACAACTGAAAGCACATATTACCAGTGGTATTTCCTCAAGATACAACTCATTCCCACAAGCAACTGGTCTTTTCATGCTTGTCTAATTTTAGCTGTGCAAGTCCAATGGCACTAACAGCTTAAGAAGTGTTTTCTGAAGTAAGTGTCCTGCAAATGAAATGGTGTAGATTTCAAGGCATCCGTAAAACCCTTGGATCTTAGTATGAAATACACTATGCATCACCCTTATAAACACAGAGACCTTCCACATTAAGTTCTAATTGTGACAGTCATGTCTATTTTAGAGGATCTCAGCAAGAGCATGACCAAGTGAGATACTCAGTAAGACTTTCAGAAAAGTCATGGAGAAATGTAAGGGTCTGATCATATGAGGTGATACATACAGAGCGCAAGTCTGTTCTGGCCATAATCTCACTCAGCTACAGGTAAGCTACCTACAGCTTATAAGGAGCTTGTAAATCCTACTGGTCTGATCACAGGGCTACATGGCTCCTAGACCACACCTCACATACAGACCAAGGCAAAACAATTAAATGAACGGGAACATAACATGACACTTTCTTTGGGGGCAATCTCCAATAACTTGGAACAGAAACTGCCAAAAAGGTTTAGTGGCAGCCTGAGTAAATCTACTACACCATAAGCTAGTACAGGCGTCCCTATCGCTTAATGGTATACAGTAAGTTGGTTTAATGTGTATGTACTTAAAAGAGGTACAAGAGTTTCAAAAGATTAAATTGAAACAGACTTCCCAAATATTGATAACTTCAATGCAAGCAACCTTTTCTGATGTCTGACAGCAGTAACTTTAAGGCAGAAAACAGACTGCCTTTAACAAAAGCTAATACATCATTTTGTCTACTGTAAGTGGTTAAACGGGAACAGCACAAAGCTAACATTTGAGGCAACTGCTTAGAATATGAAATATCTGCAGCTACTTTACTAACCTATATTTCCAAAAAAGTTTGGAGTAGAAAGAAACATGAGAACATCAAGCCATCATTACAACTGTGTGCACAAAACCAAAACAGTTATTGGAGGCGTAATTCCACAAGCAACATTTTACTGTCAAATTATAATTAGAAGAGACACTGAGCATGGAGAAAAACAAACTGGTGAAGACTAGTATTGAAGAATAAAGTTAACTGCAGGGTGGTAAAACACCCCTAAACTGTTTTTTTTTAATTTGTAAAGTGTGTCCAACAGCAACCTAATCAACCTTCAACATGCAACTTCTAGACTCCCAGACATGCTAAGTGCTACCCTCAGACCACCAATGGTAAAATATTCAAGGACAAACACAAAAAGGGAATGCAAGCTGAGCATCCCTCATTCTTAAGAGACACAACTGCCCAAATGTTATTGGTATATGTTGCTAAAACATCTACCAGATAAAAGTCAACAACATAAGACTAAAAAAATTTGGAGTATGTTTGTATTTTTGGCAAGTGGTCCTTCAAGCAAATGCACCATCTTGTCACATTCTTGTGCAGCAAAGCTTTCTAGTTCAATAAGTGTACAACTGACTCTCAATTATGTAAGCAGACAATTAAGCATCTACATTAAATGAGGTCAAAATACTAAAAATGATCCTTCAAGAGTCAAAACACTAAAAATGGCCAGTCATTACAGTTACCCTCAACTATATGCTGAAAAAAAGACTGAGGAAACTGACCAGAGCAAAAAGAAGAAAAAAAAAAAAAAAGACCAGAACAAAACTCTGACCAAGGAGCACACAAAGTCTCAGCAAGCCTATCCTCTTCAGCTGGAAATGTGAAAAAACTAGTAACTTCATCCTCAATCTGAGGATTCAGCCAAAAAATTACTGGGGGCAGGAAGGCAGGTCACCACAAAATCAGACAAGCACCACAGCAAGTATGACAATTAAGCCTATCTACCTGTATCCTAAAAGAAGTCATATCCCTGGCTTGTTCAAAAGGTAATCAAACTTCCAAAGAATTATTAATAAGCTAGACAGAAAGAGATCTCTAGCTTGTCATGAAACATTTTGCATGTTTTTTTAGGCCATCAAGGCAAAGACTGCCCAACTATCAGAGCAGAATCTGAATCCATCTGTCTTATGACTCATCAGCTGAGAGCAGGTGCTTAAGGAAGTTGACTCAGGGACCTCTTAAGTCAGAGATGATGCCTTTATATTTACTAGTTCTCAACTACATATTGTTTGCTAGTTTGTTCAGATTTTTGAAACCATAAACTTTCAGCATGCTGCATCCTGTGCTATGGCACTTCACAGCTTAAATGAGCATCGTGTTTAATTCGAACCTACTATCTGACGATTTCTCAGTTCTTGGAGTAATTAATTTCCTGCTCTCTGATTTTTCCACATACTGCTGATGACTACACAGACCTGGATCATATACCTCCTCATTTCTTCTCCAGGTTAAAGAATCATTCATTCTTCACACAGAAGCAAGTGCCTATGTTTGACCACTCTTACCATCCTTCCCTATTCTTCCATTTGTATTATAACTTTTTATTCTGATGTAGGAGGCAAAATTGTATACTCACTGCTCATGATGAGGGATGTACATGGATTTTTACATGATGTTTTCATTTCTGCTCTTTATTCCTAATAATGTCTGAAATTTGGTTTGACACTCAATTCTCAGTAGGAAATCAAGAATGCATTATCAAAGCAGTTTTCTGCAAAAACATCAAGATCTCATCTTTGCAAGAAACTGACAGCCCAGGGCCTACCACTCTCTACAAAGTTTAAAGTATTTCTGTATCTCCTGATGCACTGCCTTGAAAGGTCCTTCTGCACCCCTTCTCAGCTGGCCCTTAAGGAGCTTAATAACACAAGCAAACTTTACAAACACTTCATCCATTGCCTTTCAGATGTCAGGCAGCATGAGGTCCAGCACAAACTCCTGCAGGGCTTTCCTGGTGAGCTCCTTTTACTACAAAAATTGAATCTTTGCCTCTCATCTTCTAACTAGTTAATTGTTTACAAGAGGACACACATCTTTCACTTAGTTTCTTTCAGAATCTTCCATAAAAAAAAATACTTCACATCTTTTGGAAATCCCAAGAGACTGTATCAAACAGCTTTCTCTTGTCCATACACTTCGGGATATTCACATGCTCAGGACTCCCACAGTTGCTGCAAAATGGCATGGCTGTAAGCAGATGATAGCTGGAGGAAGATCAGATAGTCAAAAAAGAAAGCCCTTCATCTGTGATATGACAGACAAATCTTTGGTTTAGATGTTTTGACTCCTTTAGATCTATTTCTCTTGATAGAATAATCTTCTCTCCCATCATAGGGCTATTGATTCAACAGCTGAGTGACAGAACTGGTTGGTTGGTTTGGGGTGGGGGTGACAAGCCTGTTGAATTTGATCCTCTGCAAATAAAAGCTGCTAGACCTGGAGGGAAAACTAAAAAAATTGCATGTAAAACAAGCCAGGGGGGTGTGTGGGGGTGGAATTCTGTATCAAATACCAGGTTAAAAAAGTTTCCGGATATTTTCACAGAAATTTAAGAAAAGGATGTTCCTGGCCTTTACCCCAAACAACAGAGATCTGGTAGAAATTGAAATACCAAGTAGTTGTTCACTAAGGAAGCCAAACTTTTATTCTTAAATACTGGCAAATTTACTGTACAAAACTGCTGACATTCAAAGACTGTCATTATTCAAAAAGAACATATATAACTAAAAAAAAGTCACCTACACTTTGAAATAACACAAGTAACATAACAGAGCTGAAGTCTAAACATAAACAGGGTTTCTGAATTGTTTTGGCATTTAGGTTTTTTCCCCTCTTAGCATCTCTAAAGTAAGGAGAAAAACAGAGAAGTGATAGAGATTAAAATGAAGTATCAGTACTCTTAACTTTAAGAGAGTATACATACAGCAATCAAAAATAATTGGTAGGGACCTACAAAGCTAAAGGAAGAGTTTAGAAAAGGCAGAAGAAAATTTAGAAAGAACACATATTTACTATTTTGTTGTTAAGACTACAGGATTAATGGCCATGATTGAATCTAGTCTGCAGTTGATTGGAATTATAATCAGACTCATACACTTCCATGTGAAGTATTACAGAGTAATATTCAGAAGAACTTCAATGCACCATTAACATTTTAACTATCCCTTTAAATAACTTAATATACATCCTCAAAAGATTTCAAAGTTCTTAATTTCTTACTATATTTCCAAATTGTCTATTTTAGGCTTGCAGGAAAAAAAACCATAAAGAACCCTTTTTTAAAGGATTTATGTTGACTTTCCCACTTTCTGAGCATAACATCTGGAAATATACTAAAAAATGCATCTTACATGTAAGCAAAATTTAACTTCTTGTTCTTTATGAAATAAATTCACTGTTTTGCAGAGAAACAATGGGCAATGACCTAACCAACATTTTAGTCATTACTGCACAAGCAATAGATCAAGTATTAGGCAGTGGTTCAACCAACCCTCATTACTTTAAATTAGCCAACAGGATTCTACAAGATATTTGCACCAGCTACCTGCATACTCCTAGCCTGGTAAGATTCATAAGTGGTTTCGATTTCTAAGCTGAAGTATAACAAAACCAAAATAGCTTCTTATTCAAGTTGTTTAGAACTGGCGATCTGGGGAAAGAAGGCCCAAAGCACTGCAAATACCAAAGATGCTTCCCCTCATTTTGAGCCCCTTGTTTGGACCTACTGGCTACTTTCAGCTACAGCTGACAAGATCTTGAGTCCTGAACGGATCTTATAAAATGAGCCAAAACCTGTTTCTGCTCCCATTAAAAGGGGAAAAAAGCATTTATGCAACCAGCTATGAGAGCAGCAAAGAAAAAAAAAAAATCAACATGGAGACTAGAAAGAGCTCAAAAAGCAAGAAAAGTTTTACATGTTTCTTATCTACTAACACTAGAGAACTGAAAGACAAAGCCACAAGGGAGCAGGTTATATCGGTCCTTCCTATCTTATCTTACTTTGTGCAGT